ATCACTTGGCCCAGAAAGTTCACCATCCCTCCAGAGGAGACGTGGCCCTTGGGGATGGGAAGCAAAGCTCTTTAGGTACCAGGAAAGAAGCTGTTTGGAGCTGTGACAATAACAAACGTTAAGTCCTGATGCTTCCTGTAACAAAGTTCCCACCTAACTTTTCCCACAGGCAGAGAAGGATCTGACTGCCTGAGGGAAAATCAAATCTGAGCAGGCTAGACATTTCTGCAGAAAACAAAATTTTCCATGAGAAGAAAGGCAAGTTTGCTGGTCCCACGAATATTTGGTCCAAAACATCCTTATCTGAGGAAACTCTTGGCCAAGCCTGATGAGGTGAAAAGGAACAAACTGTATCCCTTGTATAGGTGCAGAGGAGTACGGGACTGGGCATCCTGATCTGTTCCCAACCCCAAGGCAAGGGGATGTCCCAAACCCCAAGGGGAATTAGGGATGTACCTTGACGTTAATGTGGTCCTTGATGCTGATGGGAATGCCATAGAGCAGCCCCTTCTCCTTCTGCTTCTTCAGTTTCTGGAGCTGATCCTCACAGCCATGAATGAAGTCTGTCACGCAGTTCACCTCCCGAGTCACCTCCAAAGCCTCTCCAGAGAGGTCAGGCAAAGAGCAGCAAGACAGATGAATGGATGGAAGGAAGGAAACAGCATTTAAATTAAGTTTACAAGCTGAAAATCCAACCCCCTCAGACCTCCAGCATTCATTATTCAGGCCTTACCTATAAACTTTAGAAATTTCTTGCTAGAAAATTTCTTCAATTTTCTGCCCTGTGTCTCTGTCCTACTCCCTCACCCATAAACCACCCTTCAGCCATCACAGTATTGCCAAGTCGTGATCCTCAGCACTGTTAGTTCTCTCTCAAAGAGATGTTTTTTTAATTTTAAAACCCCCACTGCAGGAGAGCCCCGCAGCACCTCTCCCATGCTGGAGGTATCACTCACTTTGCCCATGTAGGAGTAGAGGACACTCTCTGGGGACAGGGACCCCTCCTTTAGCTTCTCAGCCAGCTCCACCATCGTCAGCGAGAGGATGTGTGCGGTCTGGGTGCCCGGGTTCTGCAAAGGTTAGGAAATGGGGTGCAGAGGGAAGAAAATGCCAGAAAAAGCTGGTGTTGAGGCTGTGAGTACCCACTTCCAACACCTGCCCAGCAACGACCTTGAATGCAGAATTTTGGGAGAAGTTCCCTGTAGAAATGCAGACCTCCCACATAGCACTGCGTGTGCTGGAGTGGGGAATTTGCTGACGGGGAATTTGCTGAGCCTTGGTTCATAAAAACAGAACCAAAACGGGCAGAAAACTGCTTCTTGACTGGAGAGTTGCAAAAACCTGTAAGAGAGGTTTGACCTGTCTCTGTTTACTCTCTGCGGGCCTTCACCTCCCTCCTTACTCATAGACAGTGTGTTGAATAGCAGTTCAGCCAGCTAAAGTTTTACAAAATTTATCATTAACACAGAAAAAAAAAAAAAAAAAAAAAAAAGTATGTGGGCTGTTTGCAACCTCCCCTCCCCATAAAACAACAGCAATAGGTATTTATTCAGGTTTTAAGACAAATCCCAAATCCAAGGACCTGTCCTCCTAAAATCCAGGTGCTCCTTTACCTGGGTGTGGGCAGGAAGAAATGGCTTTTGGTCACCAATGTGCAGGTGCTGGAGGGATGTGAAGCCCCCCCTGTACTTTGAGGACAATGCGGCAGACAGGTCCCTGTGAAGGGGCAGAGGTGAGGAGGACAGGAGCAGAAGGTTTGGCAGTAGGGATGGATGAGGAGAAAATTGCATAGGGAGGTCTGAGATGGTTATCTCATCTGGAGGGTCTCAAACTCAAATCCATAATTCATCCTCAGGACTGTATTAAGAAATGCTGCTTTTATGCTGCCTTTACAACGGGGTTGGGGTAGGCTGGGTAACAATGGAGAGTGGTGATCCTCAATAGAATTGGGGATGACCCAAAATATGCATTTTGGATCCCAACCACCCAACCACCATTCAAAGATGGATTGATCAGGACTTCCCCCTTTTCTTGGTTATCCAAAAATACAATCCCCCCCCATACACACACTTTTCCCTAAATTACCTCTTGCTTAAACCTGCGAGCTGCCCTCTCCATTCGCTCCAGGGCAAGATCCCGTGTCCTCCTTGCCTCCTCCATCTTCTGCTGGATCTTCCTACGTCCCAGCCATTTCAGTAGCACAATGGCTGCAGTTGAGCCGCAGAGCAGAGCTGAGAGGGTGCGAGGGTCTGCCCAGGATGTATCTAGAACCTGCCACAGTCGCTCTTGGATCATGATTTCTCCCCCAGTCCTTCCTGTTCTGGTCAGCTTATGGACACCTGGGTCTCCCACCTTCTCCTAAGGAGGGCTGACGAATGCAGACTGTGCCTGCTGTGCAAGACCAGTTCTGAGGCAGAATTGCATTAACAAAGTCCAGGAATGGAATTTTTAGACCGTGGACTTTGAAAGGGTCTGCCTGCCCGGGAAGCACTGTGGGTCAGGCTGCAAAGCAGAGTGCTCAGCTCACACTGGGTCTGGGGGGGTATCCCCCCAAGGCTGTGTCTTTCCAGGCCACTGCCTGCTGCTGCACATGGCTACACAGAGCCGAATGCCTGCAAAGCCCAGGTCTGGGCTATCCCCACTATATCCATGTCTAATAATTAATTAAGAGTTAATCCCATTAACTAGAGGTGCTCAGCCATTGTCTCTGTGCCCTGGACACCAGCGTGTGCAGCCCTCAGAGCCTGGGACAACACAGCTCTGCTTCTCCTGGGGAACCTGGTGCAGGGGGTGAAATTGCACCTATTGGAGAGGGGGGAACTCAGGAGAACCAAGAACACAAAGGTGAAGTAGGATACAGTGACTCTGGAAAGGCAGTATACAAGGACCTAGTTGAAGGTGTCTTTGAGGAATATGACTTCTCTGTGTCATTTTCAAGCCAAGTCCCCTTGAAAAGCATTTTGGGAAATCCTTTCTGATGGAACCAGTATCCAATCTTCTCTCCAGTTTCTAAGCCATCTTCCAGACAACACAAAGCTGGACTATGCAGCCTTGCCAGCCAGGGGAGCTGCCCCTTGCCACAGTGCTCCCTGCCCATGGGACTGTCCCCAAGAGTGCAGAAAGGAGGGGCTGAGAAAATGAAATTTCTGTCAGACTTCAAGGGTCTGAAAATCCGTGGGGAAGAAACAGGAGATGTCTCTGAAAATTCATTGCCAAGATGCAAGGATATCTGGAGAGCTGCTGGCTCTACCCCAAGTGGAGAAGCAGAGCTTGCAAGGAGGTTTCAACCAGGGTAATCCTTGCTCTCTGATGGAGAAATCTCATCTGGGGGGTCAAAAGCCAGCAATCGTGCTGCTATCGTGTTACCTTGCCATGTTACAGACACATCCCATGGGATTATTCCTGTGGCAGCAGGGAGGGAACTCAGGGAAGAGGTAAGACCTCATAGAGAAATTGGTTGCTGACTTGAAAGGCGCAGAGGATCCTCTCTATTTAGCCAGGACAGAGAGAACAAAAAGAGCCAAACAACTCAATGTGGATGCCACCAACCCCTTCCCCCTGACTATAGGGGTCTGGCCTTCATTGCCCTATCCCAGCCTTAAGCTTCAGTGCTGTGGTTCACATTGACCTCCCTCTGCCCAGGCTGGGCTGGGAACAGCCTGCATCTGGCTCTTTTTGACAACCCCAAGTCCCCAAAGCCATAAAGCAGCTTTGGCCCTGCCCAATACACTGTCCCATGGCAGCGGGCACAGTCTTTGCTGAGGGCTTCCAATACTGGTTCAGGTCCAGCAGTGTCTCCGTCATTTGGACTCCCGCACCCTGCCCACCTCTGCGCCAGGGAGCGAGAGGTTCAACCAAGAGAGGGATGCAACGCTTGGCAGGTGACATTGCCTCTCCTGGGACAAGGTCCTCCGGGCTTGAACTTTAAAATGCAAACAGATAAACCCCATCCGGCATTTTCTGTGTGGGCAGGAAGCACCTGCAACTGGTGAAAACCGCCACTTGAGGTCTTCTGGGGCTTGGCTTTGCATAGCATTCAGTCCTGGGGTGCCTGCAGCCCCTTTCCTCCTTTTTTCAAAGCCTGCTGCTACAGAATCAGTGTCCCGGGGGGTGCTTTCTCCTAGGCTGGGATCAACCTCTCTGCCCAGCACTTGAGCACACCCCATCCCTTTGCATGACTCTGGTTTAAAAAAAGAATAACACATTAAAAAAAACAAACTAAACTAAACAGAAATCCTGGCAGAGCTTTGTTACAGTCTGCTTGTGACTTTGGTACTTTGGGAAAACACTTGTGTTGTGATAGCCCTTTCTGGAGCACCCTTGGACACCTCCTGGGAGCAGCTGGAGCTGTCGGCGGCTGGAAAAACCACACTGGAAAAACCACACTGGAAAACCTGGCACGGCCACTCCCACCGAACGGGAGGAGAGGGTGAGCAGGGCAGGCAGGCAGGCTGTCTGTCTGTCCGTCCCACCCTGGCGTGCTGCTTTACACAGGCAGTACTGCGAGCTGAAGCACTTCATACCTCTGCCGTGGGGAAGGGCAGCAGTAGGTGTCCGAAGGAGCCGGGAGTTATGGATCTCTCCAGCTTTCCCCCGCCTGGCGCAGGGCTGCTGGCACCCTGCACGCTTGGGAAGCAGGCCAGCTCCCTCCCTCTTGCCATGGCCTGCTGGCAGCCTCAGCTCTGACCTTGGATTGCTCGCAGGGAAAACACCGGATTTTGTCCTCGGGGAGCTGAGAACCAAAGGGGGAAAATCCCTTTTCCTCCAGGACTTCTAGTAGGATTCTGACACTCTCTCTCAGACAAAACCAGAGCCTGCCCTTCAGTTTCCCCGTTTCTAAGAGAGAGATCACATTCTTGTGCTTCCCTGGGGTGTGTTGAGAGAGTGATTAAAATCCATCCCAACCCCACACACAGACACAGACCCGAAATAACAGACTTTTCGATAACAAAAAAAAAACAACTACTGTATTAGGACAATGACTGGAAGCACTCCACCACTGCGGATCCCGCCTCGCTCTCCCCTTGTGCCCCAAAGCCAGCAGCCAGCCCAGCCATCACCATGTCCTCGTGGAAGGGAACAGGAGTCCTGCGGGCCAGTCGGACCAAAAGGTGGCCTCACGCCGATTCCAGCCGGGATCCCGCAGCGGGTGAGGGTGCAGGGACTCAGAAGAGCCTGTTTTTCTTCAGGGCGAGTGCCTCCACCTCCTTCATGAACCGGAGGAACTAAACAGAAATCCTGGCAGAGCTTTGTTACAGTCTGCTTGTGACTTTGGTACTTTGGGAAAACACTTGTGTTGTGATAGCCCTTTCTGGAGCACCCTTGGACACCTCCTGGGAGCAGCTGGAGCTGTCGGCGGCTGGAAAAACCACACTGGAAAAACCACACTGGAAAACCTGGCACGGCCACTCCCACCGAACGGGAGGAGAGGGTGAGCAGGGCAGGCAGGCAGGCTGTCTGTCTGTCCGTCCCACCCTGGCGTGCTGCTTTACACAGGCAGTACTGCGAGCTGAAGCACTTCATACCTCTGCCGTGGGGAAGGGCAGCAGTAGGTGTCCGAAGGAGCCGGGAGTTATGGATCTCTCCAGCTTTCCCCCGCCTGGCGCAGGGCTGCTGGCACCCTGCACGCTTGGGAAGCAGGCCAGCTCCCTCCCTCTTGCCATGGCCTGCTGGCAGCCTCAGCTCTGACCTTGGATTGCTCGCAGGGAAAACACCGGATTTTGTCCTCGGGGAGCTGAGAACCAAAGGGGGAAAATCCCTTTTCCTCCAGGACTTCTAGTAGGATTCTGACACTCTCTCTCAGACAAAACCAGAGCCTGCCCTTCAGTTTCCCCGTTTCTAAGAGAGAGATCACATTCTTGTGCTTCCCTGGGGTGTGTTGAGAGAGTGATTAAAATCCATCCCAACCCCACACACAGACACAGACCCGAAATAACAGACTTTTCGATAACAAAAAAAAAACAACTACTGTATTAGGACAATGACTGGAAGCACTCCACCACTGCGGATCCCGCCTCGCTCTCCCCTTGTGCCCCAAAGCCAGCAGCCAGCCCAGCCATCACCATGTCCTCGTGGAAGGGAACAGGAGTCCTGCGGGCCAGTCGGACCAAAAGGTGGCCTCACGCCGATTCCAGCCGGGATCCCGCAGCGGGTGAGGGTGCAGGGACTCAGAAGAGCCTGTTTTTCTTCAGGGCGAGTGCCTCCACCTCCTTCATGAACCGGAGGCACAGCCCCTCCTGCCACGGCAAGGCCACGCACTGCACAGCCACGGGCAGCCCCACGCTGCCGTGAAAAGCCTGTGGCACAAAGAGAGGGGGAGAGGGCAGGGGGATGTCCAGGGTGGGGGGAAGGTATGGGGATGCTCGTACCCCCAAGGAACCTGGCGCCACTCACCTTCGCCAGGGTGCGGTCCCACCAGTCCCGAAAGTACCCCTTGTAGCCCTTCAGCTCCTGCTCATCCTCGTCAGTCACCGTCGTGACGGGGACCACGCCGGCGGGGAAGTCCAAGGCGTTGTAGAGCATGGTGTAGCTGACTGCCACTGCAGGAGAAAGGGAGCTCGCAGCGCCAGCCATCACAAGGAAAGCTCTCACCCCCCTCTATGTATGTGAGCCTCCAGCTAACAGGGCGCTTGCAATGGGAACTCAAGGGCTGCAGGATGGAAACCTGCCCCTCAGCTCCCACATCCTCTGTGGGGAGCTCTAGGTGTTCCCCACGGGCTGGGGCATCAGCTGCCCCAAGAACCCAGCTCTTCCCACCACTGGCCAGTGCCTTGGGGATGTGAGGGGAGGAGGAGGAGGAATGCTTCTCATTGATACTGGTGGAGTGCTGCAGCAGGGGCATGCTGGAGGTAAAGGTCCCCAATCGGCAATCCTACCTGAGAGCTTCCCAGGGTAGCCGATGCCAAGAGCTGGGCCCAGCATGGGACAAAGCATGACATCCAGATTCAGCTTCTTCCACTGAGCGATGAACTGGTGGCAAAAATCCTGAGGAGGAAACACACTGGTGGTCAGGGGAGTGGATGTACTGTCCCACGGCTGCTGGCTGAGACTCCCCTTGGATGCCCAGCCAGGCTCTTGGGCCTTCCCTGGGAGCAGCCATCAGGCTACACGAAGCCTGATCCTGCTAAAAATCCAGCAACGCTTTGCTGCTTGGCCAACAGCCTTCCCAGGGTACAAAGCACTTTAGCCCCTGCTAAAACTGGAGGTTGGGAAAGATTTGAGTGTGGAGGCACGTGGCAACCTGGGACACAGGCATGGTCCTGGAGGAAGCCAGAATAGGTAAATAAAGACAAGGGTCCTGCAGCTGATGGTCTACGTTTTGAAATGTAGGAGCAAAAAATTCAGGTCTGATTCTGGATCAGGAATGTGTCATCCTAATCTTTAGATGTGCTGAGAACTTGTGTGTCCAAGTGAGATCTGTTGAGGAGGAACCTATATTCCTACCTCACATCACCAGCGACTTGATCACCTCCTAACCTTGGTGGGTACCAAATCTGTCTCTTCCCAAAGAGAAATCAACCAAAAAGAACTATCTAACCCCAAACTGTAACACCTTACCTCGATTTCACAATGAAGACTCCAGACTTCATCCACAGTGCTGAAAAAGGAAACAAAAAAAAACAATGAAAGGCATCAAGAGGTGCTGCAAAGAGCAGCTTCAGGGGCAGAGAAGAGCATCAAAAAGCAGATGGGCACAGGGTAGCTCTGCTCCTGGAGCTGCAGCCAAGGGGAGAGAGGACTTTGGCAAAGTCCTGGCTTTCCTCTGAAGGGCTGGGGGGTCTTATTTCTGCATCTGTCCATGATGGAGGTCTGAAGACTAAAGGCAGTGCTGCTTTGGCCTGACAAGTGTCCAGCCCTGCTACTGCCGCTGTGCTGAGGAGGTGAAAGCCCAGGCACATCATTTCTCAAAAGGCCAGGCTGTGTGAGGTGGACTGATGCTTTGATGTGGGGACAGATGTAGCACCCCGAAGGCACAGCACAAAACAAACCCTCTCTGCTATGGGACTTTCTCACCACTACCTGCCCAACACTGACATGGCAGGAAGGAAGAGCAAACCTCCTTTCCTGTGCATTTAACATCCTTCTGTCTTATGGAGTCCTTAACTCATGGCACGACAGAAGAGCAAACCTCCTTCCCTGTGTCTTACGGAGTCCCTACCTCATGGCACGATGGAGGCATTACCCAGTGCTCAAGCTGACACCATATTTCATTCCCACAAGCTTCATCCCATTCCTATGCAAGAGGCTGAGTCCCTGCCCTCATTCCCATCCTCAGTACCAGAAGTTTTTCAAACCCTGCAGGGATCTGGTGTTGACATGAACTGCTCTGTTTGCTCCCACCCTTGTGTTTTCTGCTTTCTATTTTCTCAGAGACACGCAGCCGGGGCAGTATCCCTAAGGTAGCAAACACTGCTGCTCTCCAAAAGAGAAACACAAATCTTCACACATTTGCTCAGGTTTAGATTACTCACTTTGCTCTCATACTTCTTATGATATGTGAAAATCGAGGCATCTGAGAAAGTAAAAAAAAAGAAAAAACTTTACATTAATCCCAGCCCCGTCCTCTGAGACAACTCCATCACAAATACAAGCTGTTGATTCAGTGTTCAGGCAGAATTCATGGACCTTCTCTCAAGTGGGGAGAGGAGGAACACAAATAGCATCACTTCCCACTTCCGTTTGGAGATGTGTCTAAGCACAGCCAGGAAGCAATGCCTAGAGACTTCTCTGTGACAAAGCCTTACTGCAATGGGAGACAAGTTATTCACCACCTATTGCGTAAGCACATCTATGCTAGAAAGAAATGGACCTTACGAAGGGTTTGGCAATCCAGGAGAGGACAGTTTTTAGCCAGCTTGGTGACTTCGCCAACCAGAAGAACAGCCCCATGCTACTTTTCTCCAGCTCCCCTTTGCTGAAAGAGAAAAAGGGTGTTTAGCTGAGCACTGTTAGGAAGCACACAGCTGATCAGCTTTCACAAGGTCAACCCCCCTGACAGAAAGAGGTTTGCTCCATTACTCTGGGTTCCTCTGATTCTCACAGTAGTTACAGGATATCAGCGCCCAGTTTCCTGTCATCTGTTTCCTGTCACGCTAGTGTCAATCCCAGAGAGACACAAGGTTGGGCTGAATTGCTTGATGGTAAGCTCTCCAGTAAATCCCAGTGCATATCAGCCACTGTCTACATCCAGTAGATCTGCTACCTGTATCTGGACAGTGGTCAGACCCCAGGGAGGATTTTCATAGAAAGACACTGATCACACCAGGCTATACTTACAATTTCTTGAGAAAGGAGGTGCCCCCATCTGCAAACATTCCCTTGACACAGAAGTTAAAGAGCATGTAGTCCACATTTGTCAGTTCAAAGGGCACCAGCTGGAAGGACAACAGAAGAGGAGTCACTGGCACAAGCACAAGCAAGCTGTGTGGGAGAAGCCATCAAGGGCTTGCAACAGGCCAAGCTGGGCTGAGGTTTTCCTGACAAGCTCTCATGAAATCCCCTAGCATCAGAGGCCACCAGGTCCTCCCCATCCCATCCTTCCTTCCCTGAAAACACCATTTTCCCTTTGAGCAACTGACGAGTCTGAAGATACAGGATGGACTTGGCCCCTTGATGTCCAAGCAGCCCCAAGGCACAAAGGTCCCTCCAAAACTAGCAATAAGTGACAGAGCTGAGGGGTCTGTGCTCCTCGCTTCATTCCTGGTCCTTGAGTGAGGATAAAGGGGAGGTGTACAGCCCCAACCATGCCTCAGGCACAGGAGATGACTGGCTGAAATAGCAGAGAGGAGGAAGGAGACAACCTCTGAAACCTGAGAGCCTAGAAATGGGTTTGGGTCAATATGGGACTACTTGGCTATAAAAGATCTGCCATCTACAGCTGTCTTTTTATTTTCTCCTTAGCTCCCTGTTTCCAGATACAAAACCACCTGTGGAACTGCTTGCCAAAGGATATGACGCAGAAGAGTTGTGAAACTGGCTTGAGAATAGACTAAACAAGTACTGGGACAAGAGGTCATCACAGCCACTGAAGAGAGGTGGTCCATCAGGCTCTGGAAACATGCTGAGCTGACAATAATCATACACCACCAGGACTGTAAGCTCCCTGCAGGCACCACCTGAGGACCTGGGTTGTACAACACCTGGTGCAATGTGGATCTCAGCCAGGTTGTGAGTAAATACACTCACACTACAGACAAGTCCCGCAGCAACGTGTCTACTCCCTAGCATGTGTTAAAGGGGAGCCCACCCTGATCCACGTGTTCACCAGCACCTAAGGAGTGCTGAGATCCTGATAAGAAGCAAAATCAAGTTGCAATATAAAGAATTTCTCTTTTCCAGAAGCAGCTATCTACTTTCACCAAGGCTGTGGGAAGCTCTTTCCCTGCCAAATTTGCTTGATGTTCACACATGGGTCCCAGAGATGTGTTGGGAAGGAAGAATAGATGCAGCATGACTATTGGGTTCATGCATGATCCTACCGTGTGGCCAGCATCCTCCAACAGCTGCTTCATCTCCCGAACGGCGCGTCTCATGGCAGGGCTTGGCATGGTGAAGAAATCGGTTTCATAGTAGCCTATTCGGAGGGGCTGCGTGCTGGAATATACCTGCAAAGCAAGGGAAGACACCAGCTTGGAGCTTGGAAGGATGTCAGGGACACCCGGAGCCAACTACACCCATGCCACAGGGCAAGTCTGGAAAGCAGCACTTGTCTGGCTCACTCGCCCACCCACGGTGTGTGGCAGGTTGGAACAGGTCCTGGAGGGCTTCCAAGAGCCACTGGCGTTTTCAACCTGAGCAACAGCAGCTCTTCTGGGAGACCTTAGCTCCCTTTGAGGTTCTTTACCTCTTCTTTGAAGGGAAGGGGGGGCACTGTGCTGTCCAGGTTGAACATGTCCTCGGACAGGAGCGCCCGCATGCACAGCGCCAGGCTCTCCACATCTTTCGCCATCGGCCCCACCGCTGCGACCACTGGAAGAGACCAGAAAAGAGCATTCATGGCTGAGGGTCTTTCAAGGGCATGTCCTGCAAAAGCAGGACCCCTTGGATTCATTTTGACTTAGTCTAGTGCTGGCAACAGTTTGTCTTCAAGAACTGGGCTGGTGTCTCCCCACCAGCAGGCCCATTGTTATGGACCCAGAGTTGCTATCAACGTGTGCCCCGATGTCTCCGTTTCACAATTCACAAAATTAAACAAAAAGCTCTGTTGATCATGACACAAGGACATCACAAGACACCCCCTTTGACCGCTAATCCCAGCTCCCACGAAGCAGTGGAAGACAACGCAGCAACCCAGGAGTTACAGGGTGTGTTCACGTCTATGCGTTACACAAACTGCTCTGCTCATGCCTATTCCAATTTCTCAGGAATCATGGCATGGGGGTGGTTCTCTTAAAGAGTCTCTGAAAGGGAACCTGCTTCTCTCTCTGAATGTGTTGGAGAAGGTCCCCCACAACCAGCTGAGTGTCCTTCTCAGCCCTGCCCTATTCCCCTTCCCTGGGGGACAACCATCAATTCCTACCTGCCTTCTGCCCAAGGACACCAGAAATGATTCCTTTTTTACTGTGAAAAAGAGAGACACACAAAATACAGCAGCTGAGTAGTTTTCACAGACGGGAAAGGCTTTAAGCAGTAGCAAGCGGTAAAGAAAACACTGCCCTCCCTTTGCAGATGCAGAGGTTGGCAGAAGGGTGGGCCAAGGGGAAGCCCAGGAGGGACCCAACCTAGCCCAGAATGATTGATGCCCTGTCAACAAGGAACAACCACCCCCTTAGCATCCAGATGGAGAGGTTTCTCCCTCTCCTTTCTGTGAGAACCAAAGTTTCCTCCATACAGGTCCCAGAAAATGTTCAGGGAGAAGGGAGAAATGAGCCCTTTTCAGTTCCTCCCACATTTTCCCTTCCCCACATGAGCATCCCCAGCACAGCATGGGTAGGGTGGTATCACACAGAGACATCACTGCATTATTTGTAGTACCTGAGTCTGTTCCCAGTGGGTTTGAGTGCACAGATCCCACAGAAGGCAGCAGGGAAACGCAGGCTCCCTCCAACATCTGTCCCAATGCCCAGGATGGACCCACCTCCTCCTACCAGTGCCCCTTCTCCACCAGAGGAGCCTCCAGGGCTTCTGGTGTAGAGCAGAGGGTTGAACGTCTGACCAAAGATTAAGTTCTTGCAGTCATAACTAAAGAGAGAGAGAGAGAGAGAGAGATGGCAAATGAGAGGAATGCAGAGATCTGCTGATGCGGGCCCCAGTCACTACAAGATGACCTTCAGAAGGTATATTAGGTAATTCACTAGTTGCTGCATTGACATCATGCAGTCTGAGGGAGCTTCCCAAAGCTCCCACGAATCACCAGCCATTTTGTGGCAGTCCCAGGACCTGGATTCACTGCCAGCTAATTTCAGTGCCATCAAGCCTTCCCCAGACAAACCCTCTGGCAGCACAAATACATCAAACCTCCTGGAAAAGCTCCCTATTTGGGCAGTCTGGAGGGCCAGAGGACATCCGAAACAGACCACTTGGAGCAGGTCCAGTTGAGTCCCAATGAGCTCAGCTGGGCCCTTGCTTGGAACAGGCCAAATGCCAGCTGCAGGAATACTTGAGCATCGGACTCCCACGGGAACTGGTGTAAAATCTGATAATCCCCAAGGCAACCTCTTTGTGTGGCTTTTTTAAAACATGGTCAGTCAATGCTGTGTTGCCTTAAGGAAGGCATTTCATATGGCTGGGAAACAGTCATCCACCGAGGAGCTTTGCTGGAGCTCACCTGGCAGGACAGGACATGGGGACACTAGCAGGGTGGTTGTCCAGCAGAGCACACCTGACCTCACCCATATCAGCGACATCAAGAGTGGTCTTGCCAGCAGGAGGTTTGGGGGCATGATAATTTAAGGTTATTAGCTTAACAACTAGCTAACGAGCTTCCCCTTCCATGAATATGTGTTTGCACCGTACAGTTAACAGAATCACCTCTGCGGGGTTAATAAAAAAAAAAAAGTAAAGTTATTTAAAAACACCCTCCACAGGAAAGAAGGGCAGCGATTTCTCTCCTCTTCTCCTCCTCTTTTTCTTCTTTATTTCATTTGGAGCTACAGTTAATTTTCATCCTTAGCGTAAACATGTTTACTTTTTTAAGTAAAATTTCAAAGACACTAAGGATGGGGATGAGGTGTTGTGATTTAAAAAGAAGAGGGAAACAGGAATTAGACTTGATGGAAACCCTCGCTTGAGATGATGGTGGGAAGACTGTGGCTGTGCCAAGGGAAGGGAGCGCCCACCTACCTGATGAGGGACTGGGGAACGTTGGTTTTGACGAACGGAATTGCTCCCTGTCTCCTGAGCACCTGCACCACCACGCTGTCCTCTGCCGCGGGTTTGTTGAGGTTTTTTATAAACCCTAATGTGGAATCATGGCCCTGGGAACACAGGAGAATTAGGTTTCCAAATGGAGGATTGCAATTCCCCCTGTCCTTATATTTTTATCTCTCTATATAAGCACATACATGCACCTCCAACAACCTACCCATCACACACATAGTGTGTTGGTAGTATATCTGACCAGCTCTCTATTGGCTCATATGGGAGATGGGGAGCAAACCCTGTCACCAGCCAGGACAGGCCATCCCACATCAGCTATGACAAAGTCCAGCCAGGCCCTGAGGTCAAACCTCCCCCCGCCACCAATCTTCAAACCACAGGGATCTCAGGATACACGTGGTATCAGGCTGGTGGTACCTCACAGTCGATGGAGTCTTTGATGCTGACAGGCACCCCGTAGAGCAAACCCAGCTTCTCTGGCAGCTTCGCTTTCCGGAGCTGGGTCTCACTTTCCTGCAGATACTCCGTGATGCAGTTGGTTTCTGTGGCGATTTGGAGGGCCTTGGGGAAAGCAGGCAAAGCCCACAGGTGAGACAGTCCAGGGTATTGCACAATAGCCTTCTGTTTTGCAGAGGACACCTGCCTCTTCCCCCTTTTCCACCTCCCCATTTGGACAGTTGGGTATTAGGACAGCCCTTTCTCTTCCTTTCCAAGGTATTTTCATGCTAAGCTCCAAAATGTTGTCTGGACACAGGGGGGCCAGAGCACCAGCTGGTGCATGATGGACAGAGGCACTCAGCCCAGCAGAATACCAAAGGCTCTTGATTGAGCTTCTGGGGTGGCATAAAATGATAACCCCAAAGTAGGAAGCCAGGAGGTGATCAGGGCATTATGGCAAAAGCAGAGGATGAAAGTGGGCGCTGAGTCTTTGAGGTCTACCAACCCATTCGGAGATGGAAGGGAGACAACAGCAGCACTCTGCAACTTTCCTACTGCTACACCTCTCCCTGGGAAGGTATGGGCTCTCCAGATGCTGACCTTGCTGCTCCCCTTGGCTCCAAACCAAGCCAAGAACCATGGGAGCCAGATGCCCTGCTCCCCCCTTGCTCACAGAAAAGTGAGGAAGGGCCCTGCTCTAACCAGCAAGTGGTGATACCTCAGCAGCATTTGAACCAGCATTTGAACCTTGTGCTGGGCTTCTCCCAAGAAAGCCAGCCCCATCATGGGTGAGACGCTGCCCCACCACCCTCACTCCTCACCTTGCCCACATAGGAGTAGAAGACATGCTCCGGAGGGAGGGAGCCATCCCGCAGTTTCTCAGAGAGCTCCGGCAAAGGCAGGGAGAGGATGGAGACCATGTTCACAGAAGGATGCTACAGGAAAGGTTGAACAGGCAATGACACATCTCTACCTCAGCTGGTGGGCTCCTCCTCTCCCCTTGGTGCCCACTGTAACCCACCCAAAAAACATCTGCTGGTCGGTGGCCAAATGCAGTGTCTGCCTCAAGACTGAAATCCTGCTTCTGCCCCGATAGCAGTGAGCACGGTGGGAGACCTGCAAGGCCAGTAGTAACCCAGGCTTTCCAAAAAAGCCTTCCTGCCCAGACAACAAGCACCTGCTGCTTAAGAGAAAGCTTTTAACACAGCCTTGTTCAGACAGGTCTTGGCCAGGCCCTGGGGGAAACTGCTTGGTGCAACCTTCTCTGCTGAATTACGGTGGGAATTGGCAGCGTGGCTACTTAGAGACGCTGCCGCAGCAAGAAATGGAACTGGACCTGGTGCCACCTCTTCTGGCATCGCTAAGATATCCTCCAGGGAAGTGCACAAACCAGGGAGCCCCCCCTCGGCTGACAGCAGCCAGGTCATTTTTGGGTCAGCAGAGATTTCCCTACTAAGTGCCACCAAAAAAAAAAAAAAAAAAGGAAAAAAAAAAAAAAGCACCAAACTTCATCTCCCCCCTAGGCTGGACTCTGACCCCGAGGGAGTCCACAGGTCCAACCACAGGTCGGGGCGGTGTGATGGGGCCACACCGGATTTCTGGGCACCGTGCCCCGGCAGAGCATCCCCCCCCCCCCGTCCCGGAGGGCAGCGCCCCGGGGCTGCCCTTCGGCCTCCGCTGATAACACTCGCGGCCTCTCGCCTCCCCAAGCGGGGGCCGGCTGAGCCTCCCACCATGGCGGAGGAGGCCGGGGAAGCTTTCAGAGGAAGGGCAGGGACCTTCCCTCTCCTCCCCGCCGCCCGCTCATCCCCGGCTGCACCGGCTGCCCCCGGGAGGCGCCCCCCCCCCCCCATTCCCTGCGTGCGGAGGGGACCCCCGGGCGGCCGGGGCGAGGCGTGCGGGCACAGATTTATAAGGAAAATAAAACTATAAAACTAAATCCGCCCTCCCACCCATAGCTCCGTATTAGGAGCCGGGATGCCGCCCCGCAGCTCTGCGAGAGCAGCCCGGAGGAAGGGCTTGCACCAGCGGGGGCTGTGCCATGGGGAAGGGGCCAGGGTGAGGAGCCATCACCGGGAGGGTGGAGGCGGCTCTTCCCCACCCCTTCACCCGAGGAGGAAAGGGGAGGGGGTGGGTGGGGTGGGGGTGGAGGGGAGAAGGGCGGTTTTCGGCACCCACCTGCTCCCGAAAGCGGTGCACGGCCATCTGCATCTGCACCAGGCTGCGCTCCTGCCTCTGCCGAGCCCCTTCCACCTTCTTC